GGAGAGAGTTTCATTTAAATCTTAAGGAGAAGAGAAGTTTACGAGTTATCATTTTTTCCTTGAAACGTTTCCCAGTTTTCTTTGGTTGAAAACCTACATCACTTAAAAGCCAAACTGCGATCCTTAACTTTAACCGGGTTTTTTAGCAGACAGAGGCTTTTTTATACAGCAAGTTTTTTTTTTGTTTTGTCGCACTACGTAGTGAGTATTTTTCCAATGGTAAAAGAGAGATGGAAGGTGCATAAGAACTTTATGGAAGCTTCATACGGGAGGTTAGTTAGCCGGAGAGGGTGGGTTAATTTCATCATATGCAAGCTTCTTCTTCTTCTTCATCAGATGAAAACATCCGATCAATTCATTTTCTTAAAAGAAATCTGACATGATGAATTATCTATGTAGGACGCCAATTTTTCTTAAACTTTTGTCGATATTCAATATAAAAAAAAACTTTTAAGAAATAATTTTCTCAGTTAGACTTTAAATGGTTCTTTACCAAAAAAGTGATAAACACCAGAATTTGATTTTCGATCTTTTTATAACCGAAATGCTTTACACAGTCAGATCATTGAATGATTTATTCATTTATCCTTGACTTTTCTCTAAGAGGCCACCCGATGCGTCTAAGTTAACTTGAGGACAGGAGGGAGCTTTTTTGTTTCATTTTAAAACAGGTCATTCCGTTCCTTAGTAACCAATCATTGGTCAATTAATTTTAGCTGTGTAATTTACCCTCTAAAGCTGTTAACAAAACCTTCGGTTTTATTAGGATACGAGCCTAGTTATACAGCTGTATTAGTATAACTTCGAATTCGTTTCACGAGTTTCATTCAAAGCTACTGTAAAAATAATCCGTATTTTTTCCGTTGTACTTTTGAAACCATGAGATGAAACCGGACAATTCGCTAAATATCACCGAATTTTTTTCAGTTTGTTTATACAAGCGTGAACGGCCGAGGGATTTGCATATCTTTTGTTGACTCGCCTTTGAAATTTAAATTTCTAGAAATTGCCAAGTGTCAGAATCATCCAATAGGAGGCCAAAGAGAGCCTTCTTATAACCTAAGTCTTGGACATCTCTCCAAGCGAAGATTTGTCCGATAGAGCAGTGAACAGGTGAAAGTAAAGAAAATTTCGAGAAAAATTTCTTCATGGTTTGATAGCGCTTTTTCTCAGGGCATAACTGAAAGATGAACGCGGGTATCTTCTCGTTTTGGGGAATTCATCTCCTTTTTTGTTGTTTTTCAACTCTATTCTTTGCCGGAAGACCTATCGCACGTAAGTATAAAAGCGATAATTCTGTTCTTGTATCTAAGCTTAATCCTCGAGGGACATTAGGGAAATTTTACATTAATCCTTGACCGCAATTTATCGAAATTTTACAGCCGCAGATGCCATTTCACGCCGGTTTTTATTGCTATAACAATCCAGAAATTACGAATTATAGTCAAACAAAATGCGAAAAAGATTGCGATGTAATAAATCTTGGTCCGTTGGTGAACGTTATACTACAGAAGCGAGTTTAAGATATTTCATGGAGTCGACATTCAGCATCAAATCTTAACTAGTTTCTCGAGCTCCAGGAAAAATTTTTACATTCAACATGAAATTTTAATTTTCCGTTATCCGAAGTCTGAAACAAGAAGAAACCTTGTTGAATTTCCATTATTAATCCAGATGTTTTTATTTTACGTGTGAAAAATATTTAACTTCTTAACTGACAAGAAAAGGGTACATTCTATGTATGGCCAGCATGGAATCCCGCTTTCGAAAGGCGCTACTTCTGTTCTTATGAAATATCGCATCTAAAAGAGCACAAGTTTATATCGAACTTTATGATGTTCCTAGTCGACGCACAGCTTCAATTTCCGTAGAGAGGGGAAATACTGCATAATCGGCCGTGACTTAGTATAATTTTCTGTTGTTATACATTATTAACGAGTGATAGGCGAAGAGCCCCTGATGTGTAATATATTTGAAGCCCGAAGACGCTGAGCTTATGCGGTGTTCTAAAGGCCAGTTTAAAACTGAATCCAAAGATTCAGAAGATACTAAGATTTTTATCTCATCCATGCTTTATGAAGATAATGGAGCAATTTTCATACAAACAGAGGACTGCCTTGCAACACCTTTATAATACAAAGAATAAATTGTTGATTTTAAGTTTTTTTCCGAGCGGAATCATATCATATCCACAAAAGTTTCCCTCTGCATAATTTTATGATGTTAGGCCTCGAAATAAACTGAAAAAGCCATTTTCTTCTTCTCTAAGCCAGTATCATCCGAAATCTTTGTTGACAGATCATAACTGCGACTGGTTTTGCGATGTAAAGTTTACAAAATTGTTATTATAATTTGAACTGGTGAGCTGTCTTCAACACTCAAGACGTTCGTGAAAATGTCCGGGATTCATAGCGACTTTCCTTTCCTGTAAAGCTATATCTTTTGTGTGATATTTTTGTGCCGTTTATCTTAGTTAGTTTAGCGGGAGGCTTTGGAATGGTTTTCTTTCAAAATCGGTGATGAACTTCGTCTGAATGAACTGAGAAGGTTAAGAGTTCAGTATGTTTAGAACGTTTGTTCAATATAACGTTGTACGAATCTTCTCTGAGCTGAGCTCAGCAGATATAACTTGTTCACCACAAATATTTGGTTTGGCGCAGCTTTCATAAAAACAAGTTAAGTTCTAAAAGACGTAGTTAGGGATCCTCCGTATTCAAAAGTAAATTGAAGTCGGCCGAGCAATGAACATGGTGCAATCAAACTCTGAAAAAAGACTATTCTTGGACCAAGATTCAAGGCTATTCTTGCACCGCAACAACGTTTCGTCAAGAAGATGGCCGACATTATTAATTTTACCTTGCAATAAAGAAAATATTGTCTTTTTTTCCTGAAGTGAAGAAACAAGAAACTGTTTAAAAGGTGAAAAGGGGAGGAGAGACTTTGCTCTTAATTAGCAGATGAAAATTGTAGACTCTAACTTAAAGAAGAAGAAAGGATATTTATTCCTGACCGAAATTCTTCCCAGTTGCAGCCGTGCTTCAGCTTGAAATACAATATGAACGAGACAGGGACGAAGATTTGCATGCTTATATTTTTTTGCTATAGAGAACTTTTCCAAAGGGGATTTTTCAGTAATTCGCGCGTAAATTTGAAATATTTTCACTTCGTTTGAGGGAGCATAAACCCAGTAGGTGAAAATGTTTGCACCGATTGGCAAAACTTTGTTTCAAAGATGAATAAACGTAATCGGCTCTCTTGACAAAATGTCCTCGATGAAGGAGGATGCAGTTCACTTAGGAGAAGTTATCTTTAAAGGTTTGGCAATTGATTTTAATTCCGAAAAGGATTTCAAACAAACACTTTTAGTATAAAACATTTCCGCTGCATTTTTTCTATGGTGTCAGAGATGCTTTACCCCGGCTATTGGTCGACTGCCAATTTAGGTTGCCATAAAAATGAAAGAAGTAAGCCAAACAAAGTGTACGTAAGAGTAATCCTTTCAGTTAAAGTATTCTTCTTTCGTCGACTCAGTAGTGCTTGCCAAATAATGGTTTTCATCTCAAATTAAGAGGAGAAACGGAGTTAATAAATAAGAATCAACTTGATTCAAGAAGCGTTTCTGAATGAACCCACTTAGTGACCGATCATTATTATTTATCACTTGGGGGGGGGGGGAGGACAAGGAGGGGTGTTAGGAGCATTTTGGTTGTGTTGTGATGAAATTTACCCGATCACATCCATAAGGTTTAGTGATATTGTCATGATCCTCTTCACTGGCAGTCAATCAGCAGTCAACTTTGTACGGTCCCCCCGAAATACTTTATTAGTGAAGACTACTTGCCCTCTGAAAACCATGTGATCCCCTCAAAATCCTCCGGCCCCCCTGCCCTCTCGGCCCCCACCCCTTAGAACATGAATAATGACTGGTCTCTATATTCACGCACGTGGATGTCTCACCATGTAGAAAACTGGACTGCCTTGATAATTGCTAATTCAGGCGAGTGAAACCATACCTTCGTTTTTTCTATTGATTGAGGGTGAAAACACATCTGC